GTTTCTTGGAACAGATTAAGGGCCCAGTAAATGACAGTCATTGTTAGTGGTGGTTGTTCTAGAGCAGGGGTCCCCAACTCCCAGGCCACAGACTGGTACTAGTTAGCCTGTTAGGAACCGGGCCATACAACAGGAAGTGAGTGGTGGCTGAGCATTACCACCTGAGCTCTGCCACAGGTCAGATCAGCTGTGGCATTAGATTGTCACAGAAGGGCAAACCCTATCATGACCTGCGCATGTGAGGGATCGAGGTTGAGCACTCTTTCTGAGAATCTGATGCCTGATTATCTGAGTTGGAACAGTTTCATCCTGAAACCACCCCCTGACCCTGCATCCATGAAAAATTATCTTCCACAAAACCAGTCCCTGGTACTGCTGCTCTAGAGGACTTCTGAACCTATTAAATGAGATGGTCTAAGGCTCACCAAGACAAACTAACATGCAAATATTCCCTTCAGGTTAACACAAATGCCCACAAGAACAGAGTGAAACAGAGAATATGGCACAGAGGCAATAGCCTACATTCTCTCCTTTGGCTTCTCAACCACTCATTCATGTTCTTTATAGTTCCTAGAATTATAAGAGAAATGTCAGATATAGGTGAAGGGGAGGAAGGCAGCAAATCACACTGCCATGTGTGTACCTATGCAACAATCTTGCATGCTCTTCACATGTACCCCAAAACATAAAATGCAATAAAAAAAGAATAAATCAACCCATCCAAGTCTGAAAAAGATGAAAACTAGGAATCAGAAATAAATTAGCATTCATCTCCACACATTTACTTTGTATTTTTATAATCATTATTGAAAGGAGAATGGGCTAAGTATCTAAAGCCAGGGTTTCCCATTGAGACTACATTTTAAATGAAAGCCAGGCTGCACTATTTACTTTAGCATCAAAATAGTTTTGTCTGAAATTGGTAAAATTTGAATTACTGTAGAGATCATTATTAATCTTCCTTAGCTCTTTAAAATTCACTGAATGAAATTTATTGCATTTGTTTTGAAAGACAATTGCTTTTCTTCACTGTGTCCTTTGGCTGCTTCTTCAGGGATGGCTTTCAAATGGCAGCTTGCAGTATAAAGGATTTTGTTTCACACTCCAAAAGCCATTGATCACTGTCTCTCATGTTTTCAGTATCAGCTTATAATCTCTTAATTGGAACTAATGTGACACTTGCTAGAATCAAATAGATAGCGTAACAACTGCACTGATTTAGAAATACAAGGACTTGGTTTTGATTCCAAGTCTAACTACAGTTTTGGAGACAGCACATATTTTTCACCTTGGATTCTGGGATGAATTTGATTTCAAATATTGACAGTAAATACCCTTGTCTCATTTAGTCAAAATGATCTTTATACTGGTTTTCTTGACTTGCTTGCCTCTGCCTCATACTAAGTGTAGGCATTATTCACAAAGTTGGTATGATTCATTGCTTAGGTTATAGCAAAGGCATCCACATTCCACTCTGGGGCTGTCACCATGAAGCCCACAGAGGAAAAAAAAAATGAAAGACTTCCAGTAATTGGGTATAGAAAGGTGTGGGTCTCAGAACTTCTTTATTCTAAAAGAAGTCATTTTAGTGGAATGAACTCATGTTGGGTGGTGGGAGGGTTGGTGCCTTATTTTTAATTTTAAGGGGATTTACACCACATTCTTCCTTCTTAACAAAACAGTGGCAGTAATAAGGACATTACCTGCCAACATTAACTCATATGAGACAGACTTGAAGAACTCCCTCTATTGTCTACCCTAAAACACTCACTCATTATGCACACTCCAGTTGAGACGAAGAATTTGATTTTGCCGTAAATGTCAGTGAAAGTCTGCTTTGTTTTTCCCCATTACGATTTCACAGGTTACTCCAAACAATGTTTCACAGAAACGTTTAAAGAGGTGGAAGTTTTCCTAATGAGAATATGATCTCTGTGACTTGCTTTTTTATTGTAATGTTCTTATATCCAGGCTTCTATTGACTCACCCTTCAATAGTGAACCTCTGAAGTCAGCATTGGATGTCTGGCTTATATGTAAACGAGAGCCAATTTGTGGCCTGCAGAATATGATTTCGAAGGCCAGGTACTTTCTAAAAATACTATTTTATAAGCTGGAAAAGAGCACTGCAAACCATCATCGGATATACAGTATTTTTCCTGTATTTGAAATATCAATATAGCATTTTGTAGCTAATTAATCCTTCAAATAACAAGGAATTGCTATTGTGTTTTGATTATTTATTTAGGAGTATTTGAAGCTCTAGGAGCAAACATTTCCTTATATAAACGCTGTAAAATCACATAACTTATTCACCCATTCAACAAATATTTATTGTTTTTGCCTGGCTTGTGCTCAGTCATGTTGTCAACCATTTTGTACCATAACCATGTAATAAAAAGGACAAACAAACTGACATAGGAATCTTCTCAGCAACCTCTATTTAGACATTATTTAACTTTTATGAACAGTAGTAGTTTCATCCTTTACAAAATGAGATCTGGGAGTTGTGGCTTAAGGAGTAGAATAAAGAATTTAATTCAGCCTAAATATAATGCTTTGGGAAAGACCCCAAACTTAAATGTTTCAAAATGGTGTCAATTTTATTTTTGCTGATGTTAGAGTCATATGAGGTCAGGAGTGAGGGTTCACACCTGTAACCAGTGTGTTGGTTCCCAGTATTTTGGAAGACCAAGGCAGGAGGATCACTTACTTGAGCCCAGGAGTTTGAGACCAACCTGGACAACATAATGTTACCCTGTCTCAAAACATAAGCAAACAAAAACCCAGAATACAGAATGTCATAAGAGTAAATATAAGTCATGGAATCTGTCTTCCCAGTGCACTCCAATAGGATTTTTGAACACAATCCTCACTTCTTTCTCTTTTCCTGTCCTTGGTGTTGGTCTACCTGCAATATGGTTTCATCTATTCAGCCCAACTAATCCATTGTATTTTTTTTGTGCACCTGTTAATGTTCTAGCTTCTATTTAAAGCCTAACCTGATTCCTTCACTTCTTTTTTTTTTCTTTTTGAAACGAAGTCTCACTGTGTCACCCAGGCTTCAGTGCAATGGTGAAATCTTGCCTCACTGCAACCTCCGCCTCCCAGGTTCAAGTGATTCTCCTACCTCAGCCTCCCAAGTAGCTGGGACTACAGGCATGTGCCACCATGCCTGGCTAATTTTTTTGTATTTTTAGTAGAGACTGGGTTTCACCATGTTAGCCAGGATGGTCTTTGTCTTCTGATTCTGTGATCTGCCCGCCTTGTCCTCCCAAAGTGCTGGGATTACAGCCATGAGACAACGCGCCCGGCCTGATTGCTTCACTTCTTATTTATCTTGCCTGCTTCTCAAATCCTTAGAACATTGGTCAGTACCAATGATATTAGCATTGAGCTTATTCTTTTATTTGTCTTTCCAGGGCTAGAGGTAAATTTCCTGAATTCATGAAGTGAGACCTTAGCCTGGCTAATTTTGTAGTTTTAGTATCTTTATGTCCTTATCCTCTTCATCTCACACTGAACAAATGATTAACGTATCCTAGAAATGATTTAGAGGACACTTAATGATCATCTTCTTTTAACTCTACAATTTTCCCAGTAAGAGGCTGTTGAACACCCCTGGAGACACAGAATTTATGAGTCATGGAGGCAGTCTATCTCATTATTCTAAAGCACTAATTTTTTACAAAGTTCTTCCTATTCAGAGCCAAACTCTCTTGCTTGTTGCACTGAATAATGCATCATTGTCAATGATTTTAAAAATCATTTCTAGGGCAGGAAAACTGAAAGCAGATCATATATATTTACCTGTTTTGAAGCCAAATATTCATTCATTTAACTGGAGACACAGTAGACCAAGATGAGCTCTTTATAGATCAATATGAAATTTGATGCACTTTTAGATTTTCGTAGCACCCAAGTGCTGTTTTGTGTTTGTTTTTCACTGTTATTTTCTTGGAGAGCTCTTTTGAGCAAATAGAAGTGAAGAGCACAAGCAAACTGCAGAAAAAGGAGTCTCCAAAGTAGAAGAGCATGATCTACAAAACCCTTTCAGACACCACAAAGAAGAAAACCATTAAACACAGGGACATAAATCGTGAGAACAATATTTGAATGAAAATGATGCAGTTCTATGGACTTCTTGGGAAAAAGAAAGATGAAGGCCATGAATCAATAAATCTCTCTTTCTCTCTTTTGAATCACTTCCAACATCAATACTAAATAATTATTAGAGCCTTTTATGGCTATAGCTATTTTTCATTCAATCTAAATTTGTTCTTCTAATGTAGTTTGTAAGTTTGCCAGAATAAAAAGGCCAGTGGTGAATATAATAAACATGCTTCTTGGCAAAGCTCAAAGAGATGCTAAAAGCAAATAATGCAGTGACAGATTTTTGGTTTGTTCTGTTTAAATAGTGAAGCAGTGAAATATAGTAAAACACTAAAATATATTGAAACACTGAAATAGTAAAGACAAATTTTGTAGATTTTTGTAGTTGCTGGTTTAATGCAAATTTCCAATTGTACTTCCCAAATAAAAATCCTTAAAGCATGTTCTCACTTTGTTGAGACAAAAAAAAAAAAAAAAAAAAAAAAAAAAAAAAAAAAAAAAAAAAAAAAAACCTTGCAAATAACCATAATAACCATTTAGGTACTTAGCACACATGTACTAGGTACAGATACTTTACAAAGTTACAGTTCTTATTTTCTATTGTGAGAAATTTCCTTTTGCAGAATACTAGAGGAAAAGGCAAGAAACTAAATAACTAGAAGGATATAACATAAATGGAAGTTCATAGAGAATGTTGTGAGATATCTTAGAACAAATGGCTAATGCTCACGTGGAAGTGGCACATATAATTAGATATAACAGCAGGGGCATGGAGACCACTGAATTCTGATTTTGAAATATTAGTGTATAACAAATAATCTTATAGCCTTTAGCCAGGAATACAGAATTATATTTCTTTAAGAAAAATAATGATTTTATATCTTTTAGGTGAAAATTCTAACAAGGAGCAAAGAGCAAAGAAAAAACTGAAATGCTGCAGACTCCAATGAGAAAAAAGTGAGTTATAGTTGGTAAGTGGTTTCAGTGTGCTTGTGCTTGAAACTCTATCCCAGTGCTTTTTTCAGCTAAGGCTGCAAATTGAAAATGTGAACAAAGTTGCCTGCTAGACCAGACTGGGCTTGTGGCAGCATCATTCTGTCACTTAATTCTTCTCACTGAGGTAATGGCTATAAAGGGCATTAACAAGGGCATGCATGATGTGGTCACGAGATGGATATCGGTCCAAGTGATTCCTTGCTGGTACTTTCTGTTAAGTCTAGGTTTCTTGTCACTCATTGATCAACTGCACAAAATCTCACATGCTAAATAATTTGCCCATGCATCCAAATCATTGTACCTATACTAATGATCCTTAGTGCACATGATTACCATATGAATGACAATGAAATTCGTGGCGCTGAAACTCAGGGTCTCCACCAGTGATGAGTATCACTATTAATTTCACTTTATATCTTCAGATAGCTGAGCCTTTTAAAATGGAGCTTATTGCACCAAAAATAGTGGGAAATAGAGTAAAACTAAAGAGAAAACCTTAACAACTACATATTTTGAATTATTTATAGTAGGAATATTTTTTCTATTCATGTTCTAAATTATTTTCTAAAGTAAAACATATTGATCATAATTTTTTTTCCAAAAAAGCTACATCAATGTATATTCAACTCATTTCTGGCCACACAAAGGAAAATAAGCAAATAAAATGACTTTTGACTCCCCCAAACTCAAAGATAACCAGTTATCTAAGCTTCCAATATTTTTTCATTAAAGTTGTCTTAACCCTGAAAGTAAATTTGAATATGTACATTCTATATATCTAGACTTCTTCATTAGATCCTGAAGACTAACCAGAAGAAAAAATGCATAATGCATTCTTTTCCAGAAAATGCAGCAACTATACTTCAGTTTTACATATATTATTCAGAAAGTGATATGTAAATAAGACTTTTCTGAAAAAAAAAAAAAAATGCAATCCAAATATTTTGGTACAGTTTGGCTAATGCAATTCTTGTGCTTTTACTTCTCATCACTCACTACCAAAATTCCATTTAAAAGTAAAGATAGAAATTAATTATTAAGAAATTTATTCATAATAGTGGCAGAGTAGGAAAATTATAGTATCAATGGGTCAGAAATACTGAGACATTCCTGGAAGATAGAAGGCAATGAACTTGAAAAGTATGAGATGAGGGGCCGGACGCAGTGAAACCCCGTCTCTACTAAAAAAAATGCAAAAAATTAGCTGGACATGGTGGCACATGCCTGTAATCCCAGCTCCTTGGGAGGCTGAGACAGGAGAATTGCTTGAATCCAGGAGGTGGAGGTTGCGGTGAGCCGAGAATGCGCCATTGCACTCCAGCCTGGGCAGCAAGAGCGAAAACTCCGTCTCAGAAAAGAAAAAAAGAAAAAGAAAAGAAAAGTATGAGATGAGAGCTAGTGGGGAAGAGAGAGGGAGAGGGACCTATTACAGAGGTGAGGTGAGATCAGTGCTTTCAATCAAAGCTCCAGAAAATTGCTGACCTTGGAGTAAACAATTCCACAGAGGTCTCTACAAGAGTAACTAAATATGGGGTAATTGTCAGAAGGTCCAAAAAAAGAGGGCCCACCCTGAAAAGCGGAGAAGTAAAACAGCCAGAGATGCTTCTGCGCAAACTATGAAAACTATGAAAAGGAATAAAGTTGAAATTAGAGCAATGACCCAAGAAGAAACAGAGATAATAGAGAAAAACAAAACAAAACAAAAATAGAAGATAAAGAATGAAAACATCTAATTTACACTTCCAGGAAAAACTGAGGGATTTTACATCCACAAAATACGAACTGACTGCTATGAAAAAGAGTAATCAGTGACTACAAAATATGTATTAGAAATTAAAATATGATGGTCACAATTTAAAAATATAATAAGAAGGCTGAAGGATAATAGGTTATGGTTGAAGACTGAGTTAGAAACAGATGAAAAAGGATATCTCCCAGAAGGTAAAGCAAAATATCATGGGTAAAGTACCAGTGGAAAGTAAGATTAATAAATGCTGGTAATGGGAAAGTCATATCTCTTATCTGCCTACCTAGTAGGGACTTCAGACAAGGCTAGAAAGAGATTAGAGGAAATAAATAATTAAGGCAAGATATAAAATATTGTGTAGATATTATGAAAACTCACACCTTCACATAGAATGCTAAGCAGGCCTCCAGAAATTTCTAAGGTATGAGAATTAAGGGAATACACAAACAGCCAGCCCTTTCTAGGGAATGAGACTGAAGCTCTCATCAGACTTCTTACAGGAAACTCACAATGCAGGGAGAGAAAGAAAACACATCCTGAAGTGCTAAGGGAAACCAATACATATGGATAAAATTACTATTTAATATGTATTGGCATTTAAAAAAATACATATTCACTGTCTGAACAAAAGAAGGAGATGTGATATACAAAAAGGAGAGTAAAAAAAATTAGAGATAGAAAAATAATTTCTGCCATTGTAACTGAAATTTAATATAGTGTAAAAAAAGACTCTCCAAAAGGTAGAAACATTATGAAAATACCCATAAATAAAATCAGTCTGGTGCTAAATATCAGCATGATTTCAATGAAGTATGTCAGGGAAGGTAGGAAATAAGATGCCAAATGTCTTGTTTCAATAAAGAAGAATGTAGATATAGTATAATCCTTGATATGAAAGGATTAACGTATTTGTAAAAAAGTGTGGGTAGAATCTTTAAAAAAGTATATATAGTTTTTAACCCACAAGATTATAAAAGTAAGAAAATAAATTGACCAATTAACTACCATAGAAAAATGAAAAATGTATATAATAACTAGAAAACATGCAGTAAGATGACAAGTCAAACGTAACAGAAAGCACAATAAATTGAATGGGTTAAATATATAAAAAGGCATTAATTTTTAATATGTAATTTAAAAAGTCAACTACATTATTTTTACTAGAGATGCATCACAAAGCACCCATAAAAGAATGAACAAAAATAAACTATATAAATACTAGCAGCAGTTATAACAATAACTGATCAAATACTATTCTAAGTGAAAAAGCATTTAATTGGATTAAGCATCTAAGTCAGTGTTAGAAGATGAAATTTAGCCAAGAGTATAAAACAGCTATGTGTCTTTATGTTCTATTATGGCATTAAAGCAAAAACTGTTAAATATAAGAAAAAATTCATAAAACCACCAATAAAGTGGTTTATATTATAACTCTAATGACCCCTGATTTCCTGATAAATCCAGATGGAATCCCTTCTTTTGACTAAAGAACATGCTTCAATATTTCTTTTAGAGTAAGTTTATGGTAATGAATTTTCTATTTTGGTTTGTCTAAAAATATTTTTATTTTAACTTTATTTATGAAATGCAGTTTCATTGGCTATACATTTCTCAGTCAGAAGTTATTCTCTTTCAGGACTTTGAATATACTGTTACCTTCTGATTTCTATTTGTTTCTATTTTCAGCTGTCTTTGTTCCTCCTTTGAAGAGACTACACTCTTTCTTTGAAGAGATTGCACTATTTTTCTCAGGCGGATTTTAGGGTTTTTCTTTGTCTTTTATTTTTTTGTTTTGTTTGCTTCATTATAATGTGGTATGCTTTCCCCCTGCCATGTTAGAAAAATCCTTATCAGAATATGTAGTCCTTCTTTAATCTGAAATTTTATTGCTTCATGACTAAATATTTCTTCTGTTTCATTCTTGCTCCCCTTCTAAGACTACCACTGCACATATTTTTAGACTTTTTATAATACCCTCTTTGTTTTTTATGCACTTTTATCTACTATCCTTTCTAAATTTTCCATTATAAACTTGTCTGGATTATTTATTTAATAATTTTTTTTTTCTGTTTATTCATACTCTTTTTAGCTATATCTAAACAACTGTTAATCAATTTCAGTGAATTCTAAATTCGGTTATTATGTTTTTCAAGTTAAGATAAGTCATGTGATTCTTTTCAGTAGAGTTTGTATTTTCTGCTGAAATTCTTCTTTCTACATAGAATTGGTAAGTTAAGAGGTATTTCCATTCTCTTATTCTAAATACTCATACATAGTTTTCATTTTAATAATATTTATGCATTATTTATATAAGAATATTATATATAAATGTTTAATGTGTTTAACATTTACATTATCATTATTTACATATTAGAACTTGAATATCTAAATAAATACGTATTCTAGAAATCCTAAGTTTTTTATGAAGAAATAAATACAAGGCAATCCTATTCTCTGACCTCAGTAGTTTCTGGTACTGCCTGCAGTCTTAGTAATTTTAATATACATCTATCCCAAACAGTGAGAAAAATGAATAAAATTCAGCATAAGTATGTATGGATTTAGTCCCTAAAAACCAGTAATTGCATCTCTGAAAAGCGTGTCTGTCTTCAAAATAAAGTTAGTAACAATGGTTCTGTGTGCATCTAAATTTTGATCTGAATTTGAAGTTTGGAATCTAGTGCCCTAAATTTGCTGATGATAACTGTCAGGGTAAATTTCATACTTTTTACATTAATAAAATATTCTTTTGATATAAATCTTGTGTTGTTTAAGTTGGTTGGAGGGCATATTTTCATTTTGTTGGCTAATCTTTATAACACATTGAGATGATTTTTGTCTAATACACAGCAACTCTTTGTTGAGTCCTTACCCTGTACTGAATATTTGATAGATGTTTTGCATACTATAATATTTTTTAAATTTACCATAAAAAGAAAGATACAAAATAGCATTCCTATTTTACAAATGTCAATGAGAAAATCACAGTGGCTAAGTAATTGCTGAAGTTTACCGCAATTAAATTTGGCAGATCAATATTTAAACCTAGCTCTTGTTGAAATTTCCATTGAAATAATTTAGTAGATAAATGTCTTCTAATAGCATACAGACACAGTATTTTTAAAGAAAATGTGGTTATTTTACATGATTTACTCTTTTATATAATTTTTCAAACTGATTACCAAACATTTTTTTAATTCAAATTTATACATAAGAAGGGCTTATAACTTTCTGTCAAGAGACATTTTAAAACATTTTTATATATTAAATTTAAAAAAATAACATATATTTCTAGTGTGAGATTTAAAAAGAAATACCCATTAAATATCCTAGATTTTTTCTATATGTTATTTTAAATTTAAAAAAATTATATTTCA